AATAAATATGGTATATACATGAAAAAACAACAATGTCCTATAAAGTAATACCAGTGGAGGGCTCTTGTTCTCTTTTTTTTATAACATGTAACTTGAGCTCAGTAAAGAACAGGTAGTTGTATGTGTCAAATCATTGAATGTCACAGTACATCCCTGGTATGTAAAGCCCAGACCTTTGAAATTATCTTGTAACTACCAAGTACTCCTGTACCCCCTGCTTCCACTTACATATACTTTATTGTAACATTATTTACACATGCACAAGCATATAGATAGAGGGTGAGAGCCATAGAGAAAAATAATTCATTTCACAAAATTTGGGCTTTTGCAATTATTCAAATTCATTTGCAATGTTTATTCTTTCTTTAAGGCAAGCAAAGTTTACACTTCCCATTAATTACAGGAAATAGCTAACAGTCCGGGTAAGAAGCAAACTTAAATACAGTAAGCAATGTTTAGTATGGATGTATTCTCAGAGGAATATCGCTAAACTGTGTAATTAAGATGAGTGTTCCCACTTTGTAATTTAGATGGTTAAGAAGAGAGGAAAAGAAAAATCAGGCTGCTGCATTCCAGACGAAGCACAGAAAAAAAAAACTTGTCACATGTCAACAGAGCTAGTTTATGCCGGAACTAATCTGATATCTATTTCGCTGGTCGAGTGTTCTATAGCTGGGAAAAAACAGATTCATATTAAACTGAGGCATTTCCTGTAAATTTAAGGTTGCTGTACACAAAAGTAAGTTGCCTCTTAAACAAATAAGTTACTTTAAAATTCTGTACTAAATTGTGTTATTGTCTGTACAATAAAGAGGACCAGTCAGAAATGAGCATTCGTAAAAATACAAATTGGGTTGTAACAGTGCAGCCAAACGTCTTAGGATAGGTATATTCACTGTTACTCAGATGTTTTCTCTCCCTGTCAGAGGATAAAATCAGCTTAATCTCAGGGTGTAAGATGCCAATGGAGGCTGACCTTTGTCCTGCCAAGGCTCAGGGATAGAAACAGCCTGTCTGGGATGCCAGAGCAAGCTAAAAATGTCAATTAGCAAAGCTGTTTGTTTCCATTCATGTATATGAAAGCACATTCATTTTTTAAAGGTTTTTGAGTGTCTGTGCTAATTCAATTGATAGGACAGCCTTGAAGCCCTGAAATTTCTGTTCTGACAGAGTGAACAAATGTAAATAATCAAAAGTCAAGAAAATTCCTGAAGCATATAGCTGCAGCATTTTAACAATTCAAGAATGGAAAATCAGATTATTACAAATGCCCATTTGTGATTGGTTTTCTTTAAAGTAAACTTGTGCTTAGATTACATTTAGCAAACAGCAGCTTAAAGGATAGGTTCACCTTTCATAACATGTTACATGTAACACCCATATTCAGGGTGTAACATGTTATGAGCAGACTGGCCCCCGCTTCCCCCCCATTCCCCTACTTTGACAGCTAGTGGGGGATCTTCTTCCCCCTCACTAGCTGTAAAATGTTAAAGAAAAAAAGTGGCCGTGCGGGACTCCACCCGCCCGGCTGCATCACTCATTCACAGTGTTTTGGGAATGAGAAACTACAAGTCCCAACAGCCTTAGCATCTGTTGGCTTGGAGTTCTCAATGAACTACCATGGCGCTGTGGAGCGCCATGGCAGTTAATTGAGTCTTCATTTCAGTATATCTGCTTGTCCATACATCCCATACGGGCAAGCAGATATAATGACAGATCTGCAAGAGACCTGCATGACACCAGCGATCTGCTGATCACTGGTGCAATGGTTTACGGGCTCCTGCAACAAAAATAAAAAATAAATTACCTGCAAAAAAAAATGTGCATTTATTATTTTTTGGATAAAGATGAAATTATCCTTTAAACACCTAGGACACTCAATTTTGCAAATGATCACATCAAATCCCAAAGCTCAAGCTCTGCTTAGCCCTACCTGTCTTTTGCACCTCACTACAGGTCCCTAATTATGAAGGGCAGCCTCATTGACCAGTACAGGTGGTGGGAGAAGGAAGGTGAAAGTTTGACCTTAGGAGCCCAAATTTAAATTTGCATAATAGAGCATTCCAAGTTTTAGAGCTTCTATGGTGCTTAAAGATATATAATTGCACATCCAAGCTACTCTAAGTAACTATTTTGAACTCCTGCCGGCAGATTAGTAGCTGTAACTACAAAAAGGTTTATTGTAAATTTTTTTTTTAAAAATCTTTCATGAAGAACTGCAGCTTCCAGGACCTGAATACATTATTGCTATTATTATAATTTGCATAAGATTAATAATCACAGAATGCAGCATCTTGCTGTGTATACAAATAACATGCAACAACTCTGGATTTAAAAAGAAATCTAAAAAAATGTAAAACCGTGGATTGCCAAGCATTTCATTCCATAGTGCAGTACATATAATACAATGCCACACCCTATGAATAAAGTATGCATAATTGCTTAAAAGGTAAGTGCTATTTCATATCAAAATCAGTATTCTGTCCCCAACAAACACACGATCCTCCTTATCATGTTAGTAAATACATGAATGGATCTGTCAGGAATGGACTGGCCAGCAATGGTGGGACTCACCTGCCTTTTGATCTGCAGTACCAGGGCTGGCCAGCGGGTGCTCCCAGCAATCAGAGACTCAACCTTTCAGCCAGCTAACACCTGGAACTGATGATACTGGTGTATTTAAGGGATGGCCAGACTTGCAGACTCTGCCTTGGTGTTGTGTTTGTCCTGGGCCCTGTATCTGTCCTGCATCCTTTTCTGTTCCTTTGCTACCTGTTCTGATCCCTGGCTTGTGACCCTGACCATCCCTCTGCCTGACCCTCTGTACTACGCTGCTTGCTACCTGTTCTGATCCCTGGCTTGTGACCCTGACCATCCCTCTGCCTGACCCTCTGTACTACGCTGCTTGCTACCTGCTGAACCTGGCCTGTGACCCCGACCATTCTCCGCTTGCTCCCCCTGTACCTACCTGCCCAATTGATATTGACTCGGCCTGCCTGACGACGCTTGCTTGTATGTACTGTTATCTGTGGGTGGTTGGTTGGGTTTGTTTGCACTGTATTATGTTTAGTATTGCACTGCGTTTATGTTTGTATTGTTAGTGTTAATAAATTACATTGTTAATCACATATCTGAAGTCTGCGTTTCCCTGCTTCAGTCACACACCTCTGGTCATACCTGGGAGCCCTGACATTACACCAAGGCCAATCCTGACCAGAAGTGGCTGCACAGGGAAGCCATCTTGGCTTGTTGATGGGAAGGATGGATCTGGATGAGGTTGCGTATTTATATCTGCTAGTGTTTGATGACAGGGAGTATGCTTATCAAACTCTGAAGGAGTATACCCGGGATGAACTGCTAGAATGTATACGGCTCGCTCATGTTCTAGTAGATCAGGGCACAGAGTTCTCTGAGGTGCAGCCTTTGATTGAGGTTTGTGCAGAGTTGGTTTCATCTGGTACCCCCCGAATGCAGGGATGAATTTTTGCCACCATTTAGTGCAGACCAGGTAGAGTCCCTGGTGTGGTTATTAGAGGATGATGTGGGTTACTTTCTGGAGCGTTATTCCACATGTTCACCACAGACACTAAGAGATTGTATAAACGCAGTGCAGTCATTGACCAGACAGGCTTTGTGTAAGCTCAGCTTTGTTCAACCCATACTGCAGACATGGACAGACTTGTTGCACCCCAGCCTCAGTCAGCTTACAAAAACCCAGTCCTGCTTCTAACTCTACTCCTGTATTCCCAACAGCTCCTCCAGTTACAGCCCAGTATACTTGGCTATCTACCGCATGTCAGTACCCTGTTCCCACTCGCTGCACCTATCCTGCCTTTAACCCTGTAAAAAAGCCCTCTGTAGCAACTGCTCCTCTCCTGTTCCATCCTCCAGTTCTTCTCTGTCTCCAGCTGCTCCATTCGTTTGCAGACCTGCGTTTACTTGCAGTGCTCCAGTAGTTAAAACCAGAAAAAAGCGAAAATTCTTTCCAACCAATACCATCCTGCCAGTATCCAAACCGGTGAGCCTGCCTTCCGTGATTCAGCCTGAAGCCTCTACTCAGCCTGAAGCCTCTACTCAGCCTGAAGCCTCTACTCAGCCTGAAGCCTCTACTCGGCCTGATGCCTGTACTCGCGCCTGATGCCTGTACTCGGCCTGATGCCTGTACGCAGCCTGATGCCTCTCTTCAGCCTGATGCCGGTACGCAGCCTGATGCCTCTCTTCAGCCTGATGCCTGTATGCAGCCTGATGCCTCTCTTCAGCCTGATGCCTCTACTCGGCCTGAAGCCTCTACTCGGCCTGATGCCTCTACTCGGCCTGAAGCCTCTACTCGGCCTGATGCCTCTACTCGGCCTGAAGCCTCTCTACTCGGCCTGAAGCCTCTACTCGGCCTGATGCCTCTACTCGGCCTGAAGCCTCTACTCGGCCTGAAGCCTCTACTCGGCCTGAAGCCTCTACTCGGCCTGATGCCTCTACTCGGCCTGAAGCCCTACTACTCGGCCTGATGCCTCTACTCGGCCTCTACTCGGCCTGAAGCCTCTACTCAGCCGGACGCCGGCATTCAGCCTGATGCCTCTACCCAGCATGATGAACTGATCCAGCCTGACGATCCTATTAGGCCAGTTGACTCGATGCCCGCTGTTGATCCAGATGATCCGGTACCTGATCCGGTGCCCGCTGTCGTGCCAATTGACTCAGAGCCCGCTGTCATACCTGGTGACCCGATGCCCGCTGTCGAGCCAGACGATCCAATGCCTGGTGACCCGGTGCCCACTGCCTTGCCAGATGACGCGGTGCCCGCTGGCAAGCCAAATGACCTGATGCCTGGTGACCCAGTGCCCGCTGTCATACCTGGTGACCCGATGCCTGCTGTCGAGCCAGACAATTCCGGTACCTGATGACCCGGTGCCCACTGTCGTGCCTGTTGACTCGGAACCCACTGCCTTGCCAGATGACGCGGTGCTCGCTGTCAAGCCAAATGACTTGATGCCTGGTGACCCGATGCCCGCTGTCCAGTCAGACGATCCAATGTCTGACCCAGTGCCCGCGGTCATACCAGTTGACTCGGAGCCCACTGCCTTGCCAGATGACGCGGTGCCCGCGGTCGAGCCAAATGACCTGATGCCTGGTGACCTGATGCCCGCTGTCCGGTCAGACGATCCAATGTCTGACCCAGTGCCCGCGGTCATACCAGTTGACTCGGAGCCCACTGCCTTGCCAGATGACACGGTGCCCGCTGTCGAGCCAAATGACCTGATGCCTGGTGACCCGATGCCCGCTGTCCAGCCAGACGATCCAATGTCTGACCTAGTGCCAGCGGTCATGCCAGTTGACTCGGAGCCCACTGTCGTGCCTGGTGACTCGGTGCCCGCTGCTCCGCCTGGGGGCCCGAGACCTGTCGCTCCGCCTGGGGGTCCAGCGCCCGCAGCTCCACCTGGGGGTCCGGCGCCCGCCGCCCCGCCTGGGGGCCCGAGACCTGTCGCTCCGCCTGAGGGCCCGAGACCTGTCGCACCGCCTGGGGGTCCGGCGCCCGCCGCTCCGCCTGAGGGCCCGAGACCTGTCGCTCCACCTGGGGGGTCCGGCGCCCGCCGCTCCGCCTGAGGGCCCGAGACCTGTCGCTCCGCCTGGGGGCCCGAGACCTGTCGCTCCACCCGGGGGTCCGGCGCCCGCCGCTCCGCCTGAGGGCCCGAGACCTGTCGCTCCACCCGGGGGTCCGGCGCCCGCCGCTCGCTCCGCCTGAGGGCCCGAGACCTGTCGCTCCACCTGGGGGTCCGGCGCCCGCCGCTCCGCCTGAGGGCCCGAGACCTGTCGCTCCACCTGGGGGTCCGGCGCCCGCCGCTCCGCCTGAGGGCCCGAGACCTGTCGCTCCGCCTGGGGGCCCGAGACCTGTCGCTCCACCTGGGGGTCCGGCACCCGCCGCTCCGCCCGAGGGCCCGAGACCTGTCGCTCCACCCGGGGGTCCGGCGCCCGCCGCTCCGCCTGAGGGCCCGAGACCTGTAGTTCCGCCTGGGGGTCCGGCGCCCGCCGCTCCGCCTGGGGGCCCGATGCCTGTCGCCCCGCCTGGGGGCCCGATGCCTGTCGCCCCACCTGGGGGCCTGATGCCTGTTGCCCCGCCTGGGGGCCCGATGCCTGTCGCTCCACCTGGGGGTCCGGCGCCCGCCGCTCCGCCTGAGGGCACGAGACCTGTTGCTCCACCCGGGGGTCCGGCGCCCGCCGCTCTGCCTGAGGGCCCGAGGCCTGTAGTTCCGCCTGGGGGCCCGATGCCTGTCGCCCCGCCTGGGGGCCCGATGCCTGTCGCCCCGCCTGGGGGCCTGATGCCTGTCGCCCCGCCTGGGGGTCCGATGCCTGTCGCCCCGCCTGGGGGCCCGAGGCCTGTCGCTCCATCTGGGGGTCCGGCACCCGCCGCCGCTCCGCCTGAGGGCCCGAGACCTGTAGTTCCGCCTGGGGGCCCGATGCCTGTCGCCCCGCCCGGGGCCCGATGCCTGTCGCCCCGCCCGGGGGCCCGAGGCCTGCCCGGGGTCCTGCCCGATGTGCCTCTGCCCGGAGTCCTGCCCGATGTGCCTCTGCCCGGAGTCCAGCCCGATGTGCCTCTGCCCGGTGTGCCTCTGCCCGGAGTCCAGCCCGATGTGCCTCTGCCCGGAGTCCAGCCCGATGTGCCTCTGCCCGGAGTCCAGCCCGATGTGCCTCTGCCCGGAGTCCAGCCCGATGTGCCTCTGCCCGGAGTCCAGCCCGATGTGCCTCTGCCCGGAGTCCAGCCCGATGTGCCTCTGCCCGGAGTCCAGCCCGATGTGCCTCTGCCCGGTGTGGCTCTGCCCGGTGTGCCTCTGCCCGGAGTCCAGCCCGATGTGCCTCTGCCCGGAGTCCAGCCCGATGTGCCTCTGCCCGGAGTCCAGCCCGATGTGCCTCTCTGCCCGGAGTCCAGCCCGATGTGCCTCTGCCCGGAGTCCAGCCTGATGTGCCTCTGCCCGGAGTCCAGCCCGATGTGCCTCTGCCCGGAGTCCAGCCCGATGTGCCTCTGCCCGGTGTACCGCTGCCCGGAGTCCTGCCCGGTGTGCCAGTCTTTGATATCCCGCCAGTTACCAGACCCGGGCGGTGGAACATTTTTCCCAGCTAGGACTGTTTGGAGCGTCCTGAGGCCGCTCCTTGAGGGGGGGGTACTGTCAGGAATGGACTGGCCAGCAATGGTGGGACTCACCTGCCTTTTGATCTGCAGTACCAGGGCTGGCCAGCGGGTGCTCCCAGCAATCAGAGACTCAACCTTTCAGCCAGCTAACACCTGGAACTGATGATACTGGTGTATTAAGGGATGGCCAGACTTGCAGACTCTGCCTTGGTGTTGTGTTTGTCTGGGCCCTGTATCTGTCCTGCATCCTGTTTCTGTTCCTTTGCTACCTGTTCTGATCCCTGGCTTGTGACCCTGACCATCCCTCTGCCTGACCCTCTGTACTACGCTGCTTGCTACCTGTTCTGATCCCTGGCTTGTGACCCTGACCATCCCTCTGCCTGACCCTCTGTACTACGCTGCTTGCTTGCTACCTGCTGAACCTGGCCTGTGACCCCGACCATTCTCCGCTTGCTCCCCCTGTACCTACCTGCCCAATTGATATTGACTCGGCCTGCCTGACGACGCTTGCTTGTATGTACTGTTATCTGTGGGTGGTTGGTTGGGTTTGTTTGCACTGTATTATGTTTAGTATTGCACTGCGTTTATGTTTGTATTGTTAGTGTTAATAAATTACATTGTTAATCACATATCTGAAGTCTGCGTTTCCCTGCTTCAGTCACACACCTCTGGTCATACCTGGGAGCCCTGACAGGATCTAAGATGGGCACATAGGGGTTTGTTTACTAAAGCTGGAGAGGGAAAAATCAGGTGCACTTCTGCATTGCAACCAAACAGCTTCCAGGTTTTATTGCCAAAGCCTAATTGAACAAGCTGAGGTTAGAAGCTGATTGGCTACCATACACATGTGCACCAGATTCTGAGAGTACAATCTTTAGAAAATCTCCACTACAGTGGGGTGGATTTACTAAAGGCAAATAGACTGATCACTTTGCAAGTGCAATTGCACTCTGCAAGTGCAGCTGTTCCAGAGCTAAGTAAATGAGGGGAAACATCAACTTGCAAGGAATACACAATCACATTTGAGAAAAAAAAGAGCTTCCCCTGATTTAGTTCTGGAGCAACTGCACTTCCAAAGTGCAAAGATTTTTTGCCTTTAGTATACCCACCCCAGTGGATATACTTCCCATCCAGCTCACGACTGAAGTAGCCTAGACAATGAGCTCCTTTCACATGGCTAGAGATACTGTATATTTTTGATGCTGATGTCGAATTTTATGTATAATTGTTAGCCAAAGGAATGATTATCATGACTTAAATGCCTGGAATGGCTGTAATTTTCTGCCCTTTAGGTACATCTAAGGCTACATTTATTTTTGAAGTTTTTAATAGAGGAGTAGGGGATGGTTAGCAAATCTGCCAGGTCTTTACTGGTGTCGGTGTCTGTGCCAGGGGGAGGGGGGAATTTACCCCTCTCTGCCCTATTGATTACTGTTAGCGGGAGTGAAAGTTATCACTGGAACAGGAATGGAGGTCAAGTCTTCCAAAGGGGAGACTTGTTGCACTGAAAACTGTCAAAACAAAGAGTACCCTTTCACATCCCATTGTGTCTTCAACCCAGAAAATTAAGTAAAACTTCCTCAATGGGACACAAAAAACTGAGGTTTTTTTTTAGCTCTTCCCTACTCTATCCAAATGTATTCAAAATATGTCATCTTTAGATATACATTACGATGCTGGGCATATCAAAGGACATTAGCAGGCCAGACAGTGAGTTTTGTGTTTTGTCTGAGTTCTTTACTTTCCAATTTAATAAGGAAGGTGGAAGGTTGGAGTACCAGTTCTGGTAAGATTGTATACTTATTTTCTAAACAGTGAATTTCATTGAAGGCACAATCACTTTGAATGAAAGCATTCTCAGTAGACTGCCAAGAGATATGTGATACATGAATATTTTAGTAATTAGATCCCATTTTTGTACTACTTACAAAGCTCTCTACAGCTGTCAGTTACTTGGCAAACATTTTCTGTCCTTGCTGTTGGCAATACAATGTATGAACAGAGAGCAATGGATATAATAACATTAATAATGGAATTGGATGCCATAGAGTAAACACAACTATAGGTTCTTTCATATATCTGCGGTAGCTCTTGTCACTTCTAGGCCCAAATACCAGTCCATGTTACATAGACAGACAAAGGATGGAGTGTTTTGGCGCACTCAAGAGAGGCTGGAGTGGCCGTTGCAATGATTTATCACTAGTTGGGAACCAACCAAGTAGGGCAGTCCTGGTTGGAAAAAAAAAAAAAAAAAGATTCTTATATGGTGCAAATGTCAGTCCATATATAAGTCCATACGGGGTTAAGTTGATTTAGAGGCTGCCATCTTGCATTGATCTGGAAGAAACTCTGTGGGAAGATGAGAAGAAAGAGGCAACACCATCTAAGTGCAGCAAGTTTAAAACATTTATTCCATATATAAAAATGGCAACTCACAAGTTACATGATAAGAAGCTTGTCCTATAAAATTCATCTGCTGTGGTCCGGAGTGCTGGCTGCGACCTTTGGTGTGGAATCGATGTCTAAAGGGGTGCTGGTGGCTCTCAGTGTTTCCTGTAGTCATGGGTACACCAGGAAGGAGAAGGCCTACGTCACTTCCAGTCACGGGGCGGAGGGCAATGGCCCAAGTTGGCCTGAAGAGGGAACACACATGCTCCGACCACGCACCATCCCCCATCTATCTTGTGAGTTGCCATTTTTATATGTGAATAAATGTTCTCAACTGGCTGGACTTATGCAGGCCATAGATGGGGAGAAAAACGGCAGATTTTCGGCCGATTAACGAACTATCGGTCGGTCTAAAAAACTTACCTGACCACCAATTATTACGAAAATCGGCCGATTAATGAGTAACCTATAACGGGAAATGATGTCATTTTGTGACCTTTGTGATCCTTTTTCGGAAAACGATCGTGATGTCATTTTGTACCTAAATTGTGACCTATTTCGGAAACAGCTCGTTCGTTTTTGACCATCAATGAGGATAAAGTCGGGCGTTTTTCGAAAATTTTCCAACATCACCGATAATCTGAAAGTCCAAAATACACGAAAAACGGCCGACAAAATCGTCCACTAACGATAAGATAATCGGCCGGTTTTATTTTCGGACGAAAAATCGGCCGTTTTTTTCTCCCCATCTATGGCCTGCATTAGATGGCCCCACCTCTTTCTTCTCACCATGTTAAATAGACAAACCTCTTTTGTGTACTGTTGGAGCTTCAGCACTTCCTTTCAGCTCCCTTATTTCTACTCACCAATCACTATGATAGGGGGCTTTACAGACTAATAAAATGTGTGTCACTAGGGCAAGCTCTTACTACCAGGCAGTGCTTTGTTTGTTCAGAAAGCCCAGTGCCTCTGGATGCCTGCATTTTATACTTGCTAGCATTTTACAAGAATTATTACTAGCTCCAGCATACAAAATGTATGAAGATATCCTATGTTTATGTCTGTTTTTATAGCTATGGTTATATTTCTATGTAAGTTTGGTATAAATTCATTGTGAGCTGCCAGAAGGGGTTTCTCTTGTCAAAAGCCACTGAAGATTGAAAATATGTTAGGAATATCTCATCCTACTGACTTTGTGCAAAGAAAACAACTGAGGACCCAAGTTATAAAGTGACTTTACAGATGTAGATGGCAAAGTGCTTACTCCAGAGGTGTGCATAGGAATATTTGCCCATTCTGAGTTTCCAACAATTCCTGTTTTGGGTGTGTGGACCCATCTCATTTGTCTTGT